TGCCAGCTTGTGAGCATGAATGCTGGTGGTGGTGGTGCAGGGAAAATCGTGACGTCCTGATGTCATGAGTGTGAGCGTTGCACCTGCCTCCCTAAGCTGGGCAGAAGCTTCCTGGGCTTTGGGAAGGAGGTACCAGGCCTCTGACAAATTGCTGGAGGCCTGCTGCCTCCTTTCCAAATCTGGGCAGGCTTTGGGAAGATGGCAGAAGGGCTCTTGGCCCTGTCAGAGCATCGTGCCTCCCTCCCTAGGCTGGGTAGAAGCTTCCCAGGCTTTGAGAAGGCGCTAGGCTTTAATACTCTAATTTACCAGAAGCATTTAGGCGACTAGCCTAGTCCCCCTAGTCCACTGACTGCATGCCTCTGGTGCTGGTTGTCTCAAGCATGTGAGAGGAGCCTGGCTGAATCAGATCAAAGATAATAATAATAATAATAATAATAATAATAATAATAATAATTTTTTATTTATACCCTGCCCTCCCCAGCCAAGGCCGGGCTCAGGGCGGTTATCATGTCTAGCATTCGCTTGCCCACAGTGGCCTATAGAAAGTTTGCAAGCAGCACATGCTAGCAATAGCCCTCTCTTGCTGCTGTCCCCCAGGGGGCATACTGTGTCTACTTATCTATTTACAGTGATGCCTCTGGTTTTGTACTTAATTCGTTCCGGAGGTCCCTTCTTAACCTGAAACTGTTCTTAACCTGAAGCACCACTTTAGCGAAAGGGGCCTCCCGCTGCTGCCGCACCGCCACCGCGCGATTTCTGTTCTCATCCTGAAGCAAAGTTCTTAACCCGGGTACTATTTCTGGGTTAGTGGAGTCTGTAACCTGAAGCGTATGTAACCTGAAGCGCATGTAACCCAAGGTACCACTGTATTATTAAATTTGTATACCACCCTATGCCCGCAGGTATCAGGGCGGTTCACAGGATAATCTAATCCTGGAGTTAAGGAATGTGCACACAGACACACACATTCATCATGAGTTGTAACCATTACCAGACTTGTTCTGAAATAATTAGTCATGTTAAAGCCTTTTTTTAAAAAAAAGAAAAGAAATGAAAGCCAATATTTTCCAGCCATTTAAAATACCGTATTGGCCCGAAAATAAGACACACTTCCCCCCCAAAAAAATTTCCGACCATGAAAAGTTAAAGTGTGGCTTATATTCGTGACCTTATGGTATGCAGCCAGGAGCGCGGGGCAAACAGCGCCAGGAGCATGGCAAAGCAGAGCCTTCAGATGTTTTCTAAAAGTCAGGTAGTTGTTTATTTCCTTGACATCTGATGGGAGGGCGTTCCACAGGGTGGGCGCTAATACCGAGAAGGCCCTCTGCCTGGTTCCCTGCAACCTCACTTCTCGCAGGGAGGGAACCACTAGAAGGCCCTCAGAACTGGACCTCAGTGTCCGGGCTGAACGATGGGGATGTAAATGCTCCTTCAGGTATACTGGACCGAGGCTGTTTAGGGCTTTAAAGGTCAGCATCAACACTTTGAGTTATGCTCGGAAACGTACCTGGAGAAACCACTTATAGAAACTAGCATTCAGAATATGCAATGCTACTCATAGATTTGTCTCAGAGTGACACATCTGTTTGCAAAGTATTTACAGATTGCCAGGCATAGGCAAGACCATGAAACCATCCTAGCTGGTTGAGAGGCCCTTCAAATAGAACACCTGAGAATTACCTGGCCACTGACGCTCTGAGGCAACCTAGAAGACAAATGACTTATCTTGAGAGTGGCTAGAATTAAGGAGAAATCTTGCAATTCCCTGAACTCTATGGGTTGTGGATTATAAATGAATGCTATCTGCATTTCCCCCTAATTCTGACATCTGAATAGCTATTAGCGCTGGGCCAGATGGGCCATGCTCTTATTCGGCTATGGCAAATCAGGAAAAAACCATACAAATAAAATATTCTACACCGTTTATATTTTTAAGTTTCCACTCAGTTTTCGGTCATTGCTTGCACCCCTGCAACATTGCACTGCTTTGGCTGATTATAGTGCAAGCGAATTGTTCCTTTTGAGAAGAATTTTCCAGCACAGCTGTCAGATTGGTTCAGTCGATTGTCTAGTTTTAAACATCATGGCTACATATAGTTAAAGCACTAATGCACAGCTTGGCCAATTTACATGAAGCTGGGGATACTACCCACAGGGCCTGAAATGTTGTGAATGTGAGTGGATAAATGAAGGAAAGCTTTGCCTGTGAGCAATTTGCATTGCCATAAAAGCTCAGTTGATATTAACAAACAAAATGCTAAAATAAAATGAAATAACCCCATATTCCACTTGCACTAAAGGCATATAAAAGTGGGGGAAGTATTACTTTAGTTCCTTCCGGTTGTTTTTCATGGCTTAACAGTTTGACAATGAGAATTTTGTTTTTTAAAAGTCCTTGTGTATGTCTAGATTACCAGTCATACTGTAACCTCAACTTTAATTACAAATACGTAAGTACAGCATAGCTGAATCAAACGAGAACTCCTTCAATAAGTCTGAATTGGATCTAGAGAGAGTACATCTTCTACCAGACTTTACCCCTCCCTGTTAAACTCTCCGCTTCTTTAATCAAACCGTAAAACTCCTGTTTCCTTGCACTGAGCAATGGTATCAGTCCCATCACCCTGCAGCTAGATTTCCTATTGAAGAGAACATAAAAACCATTAAAGGATCATTAAAGTTATTTTGACTCGACCTCAGTCATTCATGCCCTAGTCACCTCTATGTTGGGTTACTATAATTCATTCTATGTTGAGCTGCCTATGAAGACAATTCAGACAATTCACTTGTTTTGGAATGTGGATGCCAGGGGGTTGGCTGAAGCCCAAAGATCTGAATACATTACTTCAATCCTTTACCCGGTTCACTAGTAACAACTTGCTGTTGGTTTTGACCTTGAAAGTCAAGGTATGGCACCAGGGCATGTAGGACACTGTCTCCACTCATGAGAAATGATTTGAGAACCCAATTTTGCATGAGGAGTGGCAAGTGGAGTCAAAAGAGAGGGGCTTTTCAGTTACAATATCCAGATTATGGAACACCCTACTCAGGGCAACATGCTTGGTCCAACCTAGATGCTTTATTCCAGTGTGCTTCTAGTTAAACATTACATATTTTTAGATGTTTGCAATTTTATTATTTTACAGTTTATTTTATCTGTAGCTTTGTTGTTTCAATTTCAGGTATTGTAGGAAGGCAGGCTATTATTATTATATGTTTATTTCGCAGGGACCTGACACTCATTTTTTAAGTACTGCTGTCACAACCCCAAGTAAAAACCATAATAGTAGACCCATTCAGAGTAACCAGACAGCTAATCTCACAACAATTTATTACAACTGGAGGTCTTATGTCGAAACAGGGCCCTATCTCAGAAAAAGTTATACAGCGGTGCGAAAGATGCAGAAAAGGTCAACCAAATTAATCAAAGAATTGGGGAGGGGGCAGTTTCCCTCAGAACAAAGAGTCAAGAGTTTGGAGCTTTTTAGATTAGGGCACAGGGAGAACCATTTACAGCCCATGAGTCAGATTTGCACCTTTCCAAGCTTCTGAGGCAAAATGGATGTGGTCAGGGGCAAAGGGGGCATGGTCTGAGGGAAAGGGGGAAATGACTGGGGCTCACGGTAGGCATTTGAAAAACTATATATTGTATGATGCAGAAAAGTAGACAATATTAGTAATTCCGGGTAATTCATTTAAACTGATGAGCAGTAGATTCAGGAGAGGCAAAATCATAGAACAATTCTGTGACAAAAGGCAACCAGCCATTATGGAATTTATTGCCACAAGATGTAGTCATGGCTTTAAAAGGGGTTTAGATAAATTAGTGCAGGTTAGGTCTACCTGTAACTATTAGCCATGGTAGGTTAGTAGAACGTTCAAGTGTGGAGACAGTATTCCACAGAACATGGAATAATGGTTGATGTTTTATAATGTTTTTATATTTTGCTGGAAGCTGCCCAGGGTGGCTGGGTGTAAAATAACAACAACAACAATATTATTTTAGTATTTGGGGTGGGGTGAGGGTGGGGGATACACAGAATAGCAGCTTCTGGGAGCAGGTGGAAGAAAGTATGTTGTCTTCCTGCCCTCCTTTCAAGAGACATTTGGCTGGTTATTGTGAGAAGGCAGACAGAAGAAGAAGAAGGGTCCCTGGTGTAATATGCCAGTTCTCTCTTTATATATCAGACTGCCCTAGCAAGAACATAGTCCTGACAATAACAAATATATATATATATGTTGCATTTCCTAAATAATTACATACTGAAGCTTGTGAAATTTTTGTTGGGTAAGAGTCAAAGCCTGAAATCCTATACCGTGGTACCTCTGGTTACGAACTTAATTCGTTCCAGAGGTCCGTTCTTAACCCGAAACTGTTCTTAACCTGAGGCGCGCTTTCGCTAATGGGGCCTCCTTCTGATGCTGTGCCGCTGGTGCGCGACTTCCGCTCGCATCCCAGGGCAAAGTTCGCTACCAGGGGCATCTACATCCGGGTTAGCAGCGCTCGTTACCTGAAGCGTTCATAAGGAGGGTGGTACGTAACCTGAGATTCCACTGTACACACTTATCTAAGAGAATGTCCCATTGAATTCAATAGCACTTACCTCTGAATAGACATGCACTGGATTGTGCTGCATAGGATATCCCAACCATCACATTTATTATCGCTAGTTTCTGTTTCGAGTAAAGAGAATAATATTTTAATAGCACATCCATTGCTCATTTATCTTAATCATGACAAGCTTTAACCTTATTTAATTTAAACAAACAAACCAGCAATAAATTCCAGGATCCTTCTTTAATTTGGTTATGAGAATTGGCCGTGAACCTTCTTATGGCAAGATTTTTGTGCACTCAAAAACTATTTCATAGGCAGAAAATTAGCCTACAAAGCTTTATTTCTGGAAAGGGGGGTGTCTAAATTTGCTATATTTCTGTCTGCTGGCCAGCTGTTAAAGGCATAGAAATCTGCAATCACCTCCGATACTGTTGGTGACATTGTCATTATTCTTATCTCAGTCGGTAGAGTATGAGACTCTTAATCTCAAGGTCATGGGTTTGAGATACACATTGGGGACAGATTCCTGCATTGTAGGGGGTAGAACTAGATGTTCCTCATGATCCCTTCCCACCCTACATTTATATGATTCTAGGATACTAAATGTAATGTATGGGGGCTAGATAAAGGTAGTCATATACTATATACGTTGGAGCCCAATATCCATTTACTTGAGAGTAAGGACGAGGGTTATGCTGTGGGTTAAGCCACAGAGCCTAGGGCTTGCCGATCAGAAGGTCAGCGGTTCGAATCACTGCAACAGGGTGAGCTCCCATTGCTCAGTCCCTGCTCCTGCCAACCTAGCAGTTCGAAAGCACGTCAAAGTGCAAGTAGATAAATAGGGAGCGCTCGGGTGGGAAGGTAAACGGTGTTTCCGTGTGGTGCTCTGGTTTGCCAGAAGCAGCTTAGTCATGCTGGTCACATGACCCGGAAGCTGTACGCCGGCTCCCTCGGCCAATAAAGCGAGATGAGCGCCACAACCCCAGAGTCATCTGTGACTGGACCTAATGGACAGGGGTCCCTTTACCTTTAAGGACCTCTGAACTCAACTCGACTTACTTCTGAGTGGACACGTATCAAATAGTGTGTTTTAAGTTGCACAGAATGCTAAAACACACACACACTTCTCTCTACCCCACATTAAAGGCAAGCTACCAATATTTTCTCAGCTTCATATCACTGTGTACATTTGTTTTCCTATGTAGGGAAAGGGGGCTTAGGTCAAAACAACAAACCTCTTAATTAAGGCTGCTATCCAGGTTGCATTCTTGCTTGCAGGTGTTAAGTCCCATTGAATAAAGTGGGACTCACGTTAAAGCAAGCAAGCAAAGAACCAGGTTTCACAGTGGCGATCGCTTTATGTTCAAGAATAGTATACATAAAATAATAAGGAAACCCTACGAAAGAGGAAGCGGGGGGGGGGGCTCAGAACAGTGGTTCTCAGACTTCTTCCCTCTGAACCACACTTTCCCATCAGATGTCAAGGTGGTAAAGAACTACACAACTTTTAGAAGACATCTGAAGGCATCCCTGTATCAGGAAGTTTTTAATGTTTGACGTTTTATTAAGCTTTTATATGTGCTGGAAGCTGCCCAGAGTGGCTGGGGAAACCCAGCAAGGTGGGCCGGGTATAAATAATTAAATTAATAACAAAAACATATTTAATAATAATAATAGTAATATGCTCATGCCACACTAAATTTTTTATCAATAAGAAATACATTGGGAAACAAAAAGCAACAACTCCTAGCAGTGCTTGATTTTGAAAAGATGTGTATTCCACATTCTGTGAATATTTATGTGTGTATGTGTGTGTGTGTATACAGAATGGTACCTCTGGTTGTGAACGAGATCCGTTCCAGAGGCTCGTTCACAACATGAAAAGAACGCAACCCACAGTGGCACGTCTGCGCACACACGGGTTGCGACTTGCCACTTCTGCGCATGCACGTGACGTCGTTTTGCGTGTTTGCGCATGCGCGAGCAGCGAAACCCGGAAGTAACCCTTTCCGGTACTTCCAGGTTGGCGTGGGACGCAACCTGAAAAAACGTAACATGAAGCAAAGGTAACATGAGGTATGACTGTATATATATCTATATATATCTATATCTATATATGTGTGTGTGTGTTTGTGTGTAATAGACACACACACACACATATATATATATATATATATATATATACAGAGAGAGAGGAAAAAAACCACACATATACACACATATATACATACGCATGTATAGTATAGTACACAGAAATGTTTAAACGCTTCTTTGAGCGGGTCCCGCCACACCTGCCATCCTCTCCTGCCGCACCTGCGCGGCGCTCCGCACCCTTTGAGAACCACCGCCACGGAACGGACTACATTTCCCAGAAGGCTTTGCCCAGTAGCAAGCTCGCTTCTGGATTGGTGCTCCTCGGGGCCCAATCAGCGCGGAGGAGAACGGCGTGGATAACGGCGTTTCCCAGGTGCTTGTGGCGGAGACTGACGCGCCGGCGCCCGTTGGAAGCCATGGCCCCGTCACGGCGCCTCGCGCCGCACCTGCCTGTGGGGAGCAGCCTCCTTCCCCCCCTCCTCCTCCTCTTCCTCCTTTGTGTCCAGTTCGGGGGAGGCCAGAAGAAGAAGGAGGTAGAGCCGTTCGCTTCTCTCCCGTTTCCACGCGCCCCACCCGCGCGACCCTTCTGCCTCCCTGTGTGTGTCAAAGGGGGGGGGGGGAGATACCTAGGGTTCAACACACACACCCCGCCAGCCCCCTTTGTTTATGAGTTTAATATATTCTCCACCTTTCCCCCTGCAGCTCGTGTGTTGGTATATATATATTTAATATCCTTTTCTATTTATTTATTTATTTATTTGTCGTTTTCTATTTACAATTTTATTTATACCATATGAATGCCCACATTTAAGATTTCATTATTAGGTTTCGTTTATAGCAATCATTCCCACTCCCCTCCTTCTCGCTGCCTCTTCCCTCCACACAGTCATCCATCCCTCTGAGGGACAACCATAGGTTGGGCATGTGGGAAAGATGGATCCTTCAGATTTCTAGAAATGCCTAGAAATGTTCGTTATTATGCTATGTGGGGTTTGTGTGTGTGTGTTTTTGTGTGTTGTAAGCTGCCCTTTGATCTTTGGATGAAGGGCGGTAAACATTAATAATCAGTGCTTTTTTAAAAAGCAATTATAATATTGTTTAGGGGTCCTCTCATTTTGACTCAAGAAAATCACCATTTTATAGTTCAAATCGGGGGGGAAATAAACACAGCAAATGGAGAAAAGTAGAACGATTCACAAAATGTTTAGGGGTATGCGTTCCCCTGCGTCCCCCCAGAAAAAAAAGCACTGATAATAATAGGAATGTGGAGAAGGTTAGGTGGGTGTTTTCCTTGCTTAGGACTGCTGATCAAAAGCTGTGTGGCAGGTGAGAATTCTACCACTGAACCACCAATGCAAAAGCTGTATCAGATAAGAGACATAACTAGTGTTTAAACCCAGAACCTGTTTTCTATTGTTTAATATGTTTTTGAATTATTTACAAAAAAACCCCCACCCCTCAAAAATGTTGTTAGATCGTGTAAGCAAAATCAGTTCTACATCTCATATCCCACAGCTTGTTTTATCGATGGAACATGTGGTGTTACAGTGGAGAAAAAGAAAGTGCCTCTGAGCATGTGATGAAAGTCTCTTCTGACATAAACACAAGCACCTATTTGGAAATAAGCGGAAAGGAATTCCTGATCACACTGTGTGATTTTCACACGGCAGGAACATCCTTTTAGTAATTAATGACTGCTTTGTTGTTGTTTTCCTTCCTTTCTCCCTTGTTCTTCTCCTCACTATGTTTTGATACCACCAGTGACATTTAAGCCCACCTTAATCACTTGTACAATTTCCTATTCGTTGGCCATTGTCCTTACATTTGTCCCATATATACACCCTCTCCTAACTGCTGCATAGTGCAGAATGTTATATATTGAAATAGCTGTTGTGGTTAAATTAATATCAGCAATAATTCTGCCTCTTAAGTTTTCATAAATTAGTAGCACATCCAATGCTGCTTTTGGAGATTTCTGTAATATAGACCCTTCCCTAGTCTTTTTGCCATCAATACATGCTATTTTTTTCCTTCTCCATTCCCTTCTCCATTTAATGCCAGACATCCAGTATTATCCCCTGAAAAATGGGGGAACCTCCTGTCTTGCAGAGATAAAATAACTTCTGCTCTTGGCTTGAATTAACTGTCTCTCTAGCTTACTTACTTGCTTATGTTATTATTATTTTATTTTATTTGCATGTTTACCAAGAAAAAAGGGAAAAGTGAATTAAAGAGAAGAAAAAATAAAGATAAAATATAATATACAAATAATAGTAATAATACAGATAATAACAGTAAATCAAATCAGCATCAACTATGAATACCATGACCATCAGTACATGGGTCTTAAATTAAACATATAAGTAAGTATAAATCCTTCAGATTTCCAAATAGGTATCCCCACAAGATTGATGCCTATGTTTTTGAATGTAGCCATGGCAATAAGGTCTTCAGACAACTGCATAATAGACAGTAGGTCTGCATCCTTCCACACTTATACTTCAAGTCTCTTAGCCACCATTGGCCACTGATTGGGATTAGACTCCTTGCTTTATCATTTAACATGCATAGAAGGGGTGGGGAAATACTTTATATCTATGAACCTGGATTAATTATTCTGAAAACATTTAACTTTCTGGCTTTGTAGCATGTATTCAGTGAGTAATGCCTTTTGTGACTGGACAACTTCTAACCAGTATATGAATAGCTGGTATACAACAACACTATGGAATTATTCATAATATATAAATATTGTGAGATGAAGTTTATAAATCAAGAGATTTTGAAGTAGAATTCATCTAAGTGTTCTACTTTGTGAGCCTCGTAGTCAGTAAATGTTTTCTACCCTATCCTTTGTGATCACAATATGCTGGGCACATGATTTACACCCAAACAAACTATTGTAATTTGTTTGAGATAATGAGAAACACTGTAGCTGCTGATCTTAGCACTTATACAATAAAAATGTGACAATATGCAACCCTGATGCTTATCTGCAGCTTGTACTAATAATAAAAAATACATGTGGCTAGCTTTTATACTAAATGAACTTGTAAACAAATTTGCAACAGCCTGCAAGCCCTCACCATTGCTTCAGCAGCTGTCTGTTCCTCATCAGACTACTGCTGCAAATAAAGGAACGCTGATATATTTAGGATCAGGATTTTTAGGAAGTTTTAAAATTATTTTTCCATTGCTTTATGTATTGCAGGATGTGTGTCTCTTTCTGATTCATCCAGGGGTTTTTTATGAGCCAAGTGCTGTATTTCATGACTTCAGTTGTTAAGAGTTAACCAGTAGAAAGTGAGTCTCCTGATATTGGTTATATTTCTGAGTAAAAATGGCCAGAATAGTAAAGTGTTGAATTATTTTAATTTGAATCTTTGCTATAAACCAAGTGGGGTGTCATTTGCGTTTACCAAAGTGTGGTCTGTAAGCCTTAACCTGGGAATAGCCCCATTGAGCTTGGTGGGACATATTCTTGTGTAGGCATATCTACAGGTTTGTGTTGTTAGAATTAGATTGGAGGAAAAGTAGAAATGGACACCTGAGTGCATCAGTGGAAAAAGGGATCCTGCCCTTGTTTAGTTTTATTATGGCTTCTGCTTCTCCTAATAATAATAATAATAATAATGCATTATTTATACCCCGCCCATCTGGCTGGGCTTCCCCAGCCGCTCTGGGTGGCTTCCAACAAAATATTAAAATACCGTAAAACATCAAACATTAAAAGCTTCCCTAAACAGGGCTGCCTTCAGATGTCTTCTAAAAGTCTGGTAGTTGTTGTTCTCTTTGACATCTGGTGGGAGGGCGTTCCACAGGGAAGGCGCCTCTACTGAGAAGGCCCTCTGTCTGGTTCCCTGTAACTTGACTTCTCGCAGTGAGGGAACCGCCAGAAGGCCCTCGGCGCTGGATCTCAGTGTCCGGGTAGAACAATGGGGGTGGAGACGCTCCTTCAGATATACTGGACCGAGGGGTGGGACTGATATCCCTAGCCCTTATCAGGCTGCCTTTTAGTTAGCACTTAATTCAGAGAGCCATGGTTCAAGACGATTACAGTGGTGCCCCGCAAGACGAAAAACTCGCAAGACGAAAAACTCGCTAGACGAAAGGGTTTTGCGTTTTTTGAGTCGTTCCGCAAGACGAATTTCCCTATGGGCTTGCTTCGCAAGACGAAACGTCTTGCGAGTTCTTGCAAGTTTGTTTCCTTTTTCTTAAAGCCGCTAAGCCGTTAATAGCCGCTAAGCCGCTAATAGCCGCTAAGCCGCTAATAGCCGTGCTTCGCAAGACGAAAAAACTGCAAGACGAAGAGACTCGCGGAAAGGATTAATTTCGTCTTGCGAGGCACCACTGTACTTGGAAAGCAGAGCCCTTCCTCCTGCTTCATGTGGCTTGTGGTTGCCCTTTTCTCTCTACTGAGTAATTGCGGTCTGCCTATACCTTCATTCTTTCCTTCTTCTGCTACAAGGCCTTTCCATAAAAAGAGGTTCTGGAGCTGTGCTCTGAGGAACATAAAGAAGAGCTTGGCTGGGTCAGGCCAAAGGGCATCTTCCTATGGGAAACCCGCAAGCAGGACTTGACTGTAACAGTACTCTCCCCATGTGTGATTCCCAGCAGCTGCTCTTCAGAGGCATACTTCCTGCATTGTAGCTAGTAATGATTGATAGGCTTATCCCCCATGAATTTTTCCATTCCTCTTTTAAAGCTGTCCAAGTGGTGGGCCATCACTACACCATGTGGAGGTAATATCCATAGTTTAACTAGGAAACCCCAACTCCGATTAAGACCTGCTTCTATGTCCCAAAAAGTTAAAAAGGCGAAAAGCAAAGGGTAAAGGACTAGAATTGAGTGAGAAAAATGGGAGGGCAAGATTGCGTTTTTAAAAGGCTGTGTAAAACTTGTGGAGAGGCAAAATAAGAAGATGTTGACATGGGGAAGAACTTTGTGGGAAAGGAAGAAACTAACAGAAAGAGATAGATATGCTGGGATGAAGATTGCGTGGGAAAGAAAGGGAGCATGAACAAAAGCACGGCAGAAAAGATAGAGAATAGAAGAAGCGGAGGAAAAGGGGGAAGCAGAATTAGCGAGAATAATA